CATTGATCTTACTCATTCTGACAGGTGTATTATGGAATCTCAAAGTCATTTTAATTAACATTTTCTTGATGGCTAAAGATGTTGAATATTTTTAAAGCATTTCTCAGTCATTTAAATTTCCTCTATTGAGAATTCTCTGTTTAGATCTGTGCCCCAGTTTTAATTGGATTATTTGTTTTTTTGACATCTAATTTCTTGAGTTCTGTATGTATTTTGGATATTAGCCATCTTTTGGCAGTGGAGTTGGTAAAATATCTTTTTCTATTTTGTAGGTTATTAGTCTGTTAATTTGGATAGCCTTTTAGCTAGTTTGTTGGTTTAATTAGTTAGTTGGTTTATCTGTCTTGCTGATTTTCTCAGAGTCAACTCTTTCTTTCAGTGATGTTATTATTGTTGTTCTATTTTATTGAGTTAAGCACTCATATTATTTCTTGCCATCTTTTCCTCTTGGGCGTGTTTGCTTCTTTTTGTTCTAGAGCTTTCAGATGTGTTGTTAAATTGCAAATATGACATCTCCAATTTTTTAATGTAGGCACTATGTGCTATAAACTTTCCTCTTAGTAACACTTTCATTGTATTTCATAAGGTGTATTCATTTTCATTGAATTTTAGAAAGTCTTTAATTTCTTTATTTCTGTCTTGACTTGAAATAAAGTAGAGAACTGTTTCCATGAGTTTGTAATATTCTGTTGTTTTTTATATCTAAATTTGATCTATGGTGATCTAATAGGATACAGAAGATAGGAATATTCTTCTGTGTATATGCTTCTCTTATTGGTTAATGATTAAATCATTGATTGGATGACTGGCATAGCTGAGCAGAATCAGGATATAAGCAGGGCCAAACAGGAAAGCATTCTCATCTTGGCAGAGAGTTAGAGGTCTGGACTCTTCTCCAGTAAGACAAAGATGGATAGAAATGGGTTAATAATTAAGACAGGACTACCTAATAAGAAGCTCAAAGTATCAGCCAAAGTTACATAATTAATGTAGCATCTGTGTGCTTCTTTGGGGGATGAGAAGGGTGGAGGGACCTGCTGGGGAAATAACTTTATGTTACATACAGCAAATTATTTTGATTATTTTTTATTAATTGAAACTTGCTTTGAGTATGGTGTCAGTTTTGCAGAATGTTCATGAGATGCTGAGAATAAAGTGTATTTTTTTGTGTTTGGGTGAATCTGTTAGGTCCATTTGGTTCGTAGTGTTTGTTGGTTCCAGTATTTCTCTGTTTAGCTTTTGTCTGGATGGCAGTGAGGTATTGAAGTCTTCCACTAGCAGTGTGTGGGGGGCAATGTGTGACTTAAGCTACAGTAGTGTTCCTTTTACAAGCTCTGGTGTCCTTATGTTTGGGGTATAGATGTTAAAAACTGAAATGTCATCTTTGTGGATTTTCCCTTTGCTAAATATGTAGTAACCTTTCCCATCTCTTTATATTATTTTTTATTTGAAGTTTAATTTGTTAGATATTCAAATATGCCAGCTTGCTTCTAAGGTTCATTTGCTTGGAGTACTTTTTTAAATCCTGTATTCTGAGGTACTGTCTTATCCTTGATGTCGAGGTTTGATCCTTGGGTGAAACAGAAGGAAGGATTCCATTTTCAGATCCATATTATTAGACTGCATCTTTTTATTAGGGAACTGAGGTCATTGACATTGATTGACATAAATAATGAATGGTTATTGATTCCTCTTATTTTGTTGTTGTTTTTGGTGGTGCTGCCACTGCTGCTGGTGTGTGTGTGTGTATGAGTGTGTGTGTGTGTTTCCCTTCTTTTAATTTTGCTAATGGTAGATTATATATTTCCTATGTTTTCATTGTTGTAGTTTACCTCCTTAGATGGGCATTTTCCTTCTAAGACCTTCTGTAGGGCTGGATTTGTAGATAAATATTGTTTAATCATATAATATTTTATATTTTCCATCTATGGTAATGGAAAGTTTAGTTAGTTATAGGTGTCTGTGCTGGCACCTGTGGTTTCGTAGAGTCTGCACCACCTGCCCAGAACTTTCTTAGTTTTAGAATCTCCCTTGAGAAGTCAGCTGTAATTCAAATAATTCAAACTGCCTTTATATGTTAAATGTGTTTTTCTTTCCTTGCACCTTTTAATATTCTTTCTTTGTTCTGTATTTTTAGCGGTTTGATTATTATATGTTAAGGGGACTTTCTTTTCTGGTCCAATCTATTTGATATTCTGTATGTTTCTTGTACCTGTATATGCATTTCCTACTTACGTTAGGATAAATTTTCTTCTGTGATTTTGTTGGAAATATTTTCTGGGCCTTTGACCGGGGATTCTCCTTCCTCTATTCCTACCATTCTTAGGTTTGGTCTTTTCATAATGTCCCAGATTTCCTGGATGTTTTGTGTCAGGAGTCTAGATTTAACATTTTCTTTGACCAACATAGGCATTTTTTTCTAACACATCTCCAATGCCGAAATTCTCTTTCCATTTCTTATATTGTGTTGGTGAAGTTTGCTACTATAGTTCCTTTTTGAATTCCTACATTTTTTATTTGCAGAATTCCCTCCATTTGTGATTTCTTTATTACTTACATTTCCATTTTTTGGGTCTTGATGAGTTTTATTTGTTTCTTTCAACTGTTGTTTGAATTTTCTTGACTTTCTTTAAGGGATGTATTCATTTCACCCAATTATTTGTCTGTGTTTTCCTGGGTTTATCTGAGGAATTATTCAATTCCTCCTTAAGGACCTCTATGGTCTTCATAAAATTAATTTTAAGGTCTTTTTCTTGTGCTTCAGCTGAGTTTAGATTATTCAGAACTTGTCGTGATGGATAGCTGGGCTCTAATGAAGACATATTGCTTTGCCTGTTATTGATAATGTTTTTACACTGGCATCTAGGCATTTGGGTTTGGGCAGATTACAGGTCTAGGTACTGATTTCTGGGTTTGTCTTTGTTGTTTGGATGCCTTGTTCCTTGATTTTTGTTTCCTATATTGGTTTTTTGGAGACTGTGATGGCTGTGTGTTGCCAGTTTTCCAGGCCTGCTCAGCAGGTGTGTTCATGGGGGAATGCCTGATGGTATTGGAGGCTGGCATACTGGAATAAGTTGGGGAAGGAAGTTCTGGGAGAAGGTCTTTGTGATCTGTTGGGGGTGGGTTCAAAGAGGAAATGGAGATTGAAGCAGATTCCCTGATACTCACCTGGGGATAACACTGTGGTCATTGGGTCTGTGGGCAATAAGAATCTGTCTTCTACCTGCTTGTTGCTGTGGGAAGGGCAAGGGCTGCCCTTGGTTTAATTAGGAGTTACTAGTTGGTTAGGATATTGCACAAAGCAATGAGTGAGGAGAAGAAGGTTAAAAGGGATAGATCTATGGGATCCACTGGACTTTGGAACAGTGGTCAGGGAAGCCTGCTGTAGGTGTTCTGTTACAGAGCTGGGGATGAGACTGGGAGTTGGATCTGGGGAAACATGGTCTTCTGGCAGCCTACCTGATTTTCTGGCAGGTGTGGATTGTGGGTTAGCAGGGAATGCCTGCCTGAGTTGGGGGCTGGGGTAAAGTGACTGAGTGGGAAAGGGAGGATAGGAGGAGATGGACTGTTGGATCCACAGGAGATATGGGCCTCGGGGAAGGAAGGCTGAAGCTGGTGTTCAGTTGCTGTGCTGGGGAGGAGACTGGGGGATTAGGCTTCGAAGAGAGGAGAGAGTGATGAGGGTCTTCAGTTAACTTGCTTCTTTTCCTGTTCTGCTTGGATGGTATGTTCTTACTGAATGCCTGCTAGTGTTGGAGACTGGGATAATGGGATGAATTGGGGTAAGGAAGTTTGGAAAAAAATCTCTGTGATCTGTTGGGGATGAGGTATGATAGGAAAGGTTTCCAGCTAAAGATCTGGGTATCTATTAATTCTTTCTCTACGACCTGATTCCCGTAATCCCATTCCTCCCATGATGGATTATTTCCACCACTATCATTCACCTCTCTACTTTCCTTTTTTTCTTCCTTTTTAAAATTTAAGTTAGAAACAAGCTTGTTTCACATGACAATCACAGCTTCCTCTCCCTCTCCTCCTCCCTATCCCTCCTCACCAGAACTCCTCTACTTTCATTCTAATCCCACTCCCCGAGGTCCCCATCCTCAAGCATCCACCCCCTGAAATCTGTTTCTAATTTCCTGGCTTCTACATCCTGTCATCCAAGGAAGGAAGGAAGGAAGGAAAGAAAGGAAGGAAGAAAGAAAGAAAGAAAGATAGAAAGATTTGATGCCAGAATCTACATGTGAGAGCATATAAGAGCATATAATCTTTGACGTTATTAGCTGGGTGACTTCACTCATTTAAACCTGCCTTCATCACTAAGTACTTTTTCTAGTTCTGCCATTTATATGCAAACTTCATTCCTTTTTTAGCTGAGTAATATTCCATTTTGTATATGTTCCATATCTTCCTTATCCATTTATCTGGATTGATTCCTAGTTATTGATAGTTGAGTTGCAATGAACATGGGTGTGCAAGTATCTCTGTGATAATGTAGGGAATCCTTTGCATACATGTTCGGGCATGTATTTCTATTTCTAGCTATTTTTGAGAAATCTCCAGACCCACTCCTTCAGTGACTTCACTAGTTCACATTCCCACTAACATTGTGTAAGAGTTTCCATTTTCTGACATCAATGCCAGTATTTGTTATTTGTGTTCCTGCTGTTTGGGATGAGATAAAATTTTAAACTAGTTTAAATCTACATTTCATTGATAGTCTAGAATAGTAAATACCTTTTGAACTGTTTACTAGTCATTTGCATTTTTATTTCAATAACTTTTTGAGAGCCATATTCCATTTTTAATTGATTTGCATGTTCCCTGGTGTTCAATTTTATATATTTTGATTATTCTAAATGCTAATCTTTTGTCTGGTACATAGCTGACAAATATTTTGGTTGTCAAGATACTTTTAAATTTAATGAGGTGCCAATTATCAATTACTGACCCTATTTCCTGGGTTACATAAGCCCTATCAACAAAGCCAGTTGTTATCATATGAGCTGAAGTGTCCTCTGCACCTCATCCCCAAACAGTTGCAGATTGTCAAGTCCTGTGGTGAGGTCTGTGATCAAATTTGTATAAGGTAAGAGATGAGGATCTGGTTTCCTTTTCTTCATGTTGAAATTTAGGTTTCCTAGCACCTTGTGCTGCAGATGCTACCTTTTTTCCAATATATGTTTTTGGCATCTTTGTCAAGAATCAGGTAACTACATGCATGGGCAAATATTTGGGCCTTTTACTCCATTACTGTTGTATCTGGTGTCTTATTTTGCTTATTTGTTGTCTTAACTTTCTTTTTTTTTTTGGTTTGCTGTTTTGTTTTTGTTGTAGCTCTATAATATAATTTGAAATAAGATATGAAGATACAGATGCAGAATTTATTTTCAAAATTGCTTTGAATATCCTCTTATGAGTATGTATATATGTGTCACTATATACATTTTAAGTTTATTTTTTCAATGTCTGTAAACAATGACCCTGGAAGTTATTGCTTTGCATTGACTCTATAGATTACTTTTGATGGAAAGGACTTCTGTTTCTTTGAGTAAGTTTATTCCTGAGTACTTTATTTTGTGCCTATTATTAATGAAATCATTTCCCTGATACCTTGTCCAGTGTGTTGTCCTTGATATATAAGAAGGACACTGAATTTTATATGGGTTACTTTTGTTGCCTGCAGCTCTGCTGAGAGTTTTGTCAGCTCTAAGCATTTTGTGAAGAGTCTTTAAATTCTCTTATACAGAACCATATGATCTGCAAATAGACATACTTTGACTTCTTTTCCTGTTCGTATTTCTTTTATCTCCTGTCTTTCCTTATTGTGCTACCTAAAATTTCAAGCACTATATTGAATACAAGTGGGAAGACTGGGCACCCTTTTATTTTTCTTGATTTTAGTGGGAATTCTTTGCATTTTCTCAGTTTGGTATAATATTGGTTATAGACCTGCTGTATAGTGTTTTGGGTATGTTCAATTTTTCCCTAGTCTCTCCATGACTTTTATTTTAAAGGGATGTTGAGGGTTTTTTTTTCATATTGAGAGTTTTATTGAAGGGGAGGTAAGAAAATAAGGTAAAAAATCACATAAATAGAGAGAGGACAGAAGAGAAGACGGAGACAGGGAAAGTCCTGTCTGACTCAGGGGAACAGCCAGAAAAAGCGGGATGTTGAGATTTTAATAGAGTCCTTTTCTGCATCTATTGAAATAATCATGTGATTTCTGTCTAAGTCAATTTATGTGATAGATTCCATTTATTGACTTATGCCTGTTGAACTTTCCCTGAATCTCTGTAAGGGAGAAAACTTGACCAATATTAATGATCTTTTTCATGTGATCTTGAAGTCAATTTGGCAGAATTTTATTGGGAAATTTTGTTTCTTGTTTATTAGGGAGCGGAGTCTGTAATTATCTTTTTGCTGTTTTTTTTTAAAAGAACATACCTTTAACTGGTTTTGATATCAACATAATGCTGTTCAACTTAAAGACATTGAAAGCCCCCTTTCTTTCTAACTCACAGAATAATTTGTGTTGTTGTTAATTCATTTTTGATGTTTTACTACAGTTCTGAAATGAATCCATTTGATTCTAGAATTTTAATAGTTAGAATGCTTTTTATTACTGCTTCAATTTTTTTTCTTGTTTCAATTTTGGAATGTCATTTAACCTTTCTTTCCAATTTTCCAATTTAATGGAATAAAGGCTTTTAAAGTATGTGCTTATGATTTCCTTTTCATTAACATAATTTCTTTATTGATTCTTTGGAAATTTCACATCATGTGCCCCAATTGCACTCATTTCCCAGTCCCTCCTTATCTACCCTTCATCCTTGCAGCATCCCCCCCCCACAGACAAAAAATGAAAATTAAAAAAATTCAAACCAAACAAATCCAACCAACCAACCAAACAAACAAAAAACCTTTTTGTTCCTCCATCTTCCACACCTTTCCAACACCTCTTGATTCATCTTAGCGGCTTTGGAGTCAGGTGTGTTACACAGTATATACCTTTTGTCCAATCAGCTTTATTTGTAAATGTTCATTGTAACAAGTCATTGGTCTGGTTCAAGGTCCCTGGTTTCTGGTATGTCATCATCACTAGACCCTCTCTGAAACTCCTCTTGGATATCCCACAGCCAACCTGAGTCAGATGATCCTACAGTTATCCTCGGCAGTGCCAGGCACTTCACTTGCTCCAGTAGGTCATAGATGGGGTAGATTATAGGTTGGGCTAACCTAAGGCTCTGGATGTGAGCCTAGGTGGTAGTTAAGCTGGTCAGACTTGGCCACTGGACAGTTTCCCTCAGGCTTGGAGTAAAACCAGCTCTCCTACACCCACACTGTCAGGTTGAGCTGTATCATGCCAGTGGTGAGGGATGGGGGCCATCTTTTCAGAGTGCAGCAGCCAGCTCTCCCGTGAGGGTTAGGGCCAGCTCTCTTGCTTCAGTATCCAGTGAAGGATAGAACCAGTTTTCCCAGGGCCAGGAAGGCTCAACCTGGACCTCGGATTTCATCATGCATGGTTCTTATGTCCATCTGTGGTAACATGAGACATAGACTTCAACAGCAGGACTGTGGACCTAGACATGGCCCTCAACAGTAGCTTGGGCATATTATCCTGGCCTCTGCCGGAGCTCAAGTCACCCAGCTTAGTATGGCCCCAGTGGCAGCATGGCTCTCAGAGACCAACTATCCAAGAGCATGGGAGATCTTTCCATTTTCTGGTATCTTCTTTATTTTCTTTCTTTAAAGACTCAAAGTTCTTGTCATGTAGGTCTTTCACCTGTTTTGTTAGAGTTATCCCAAGGTATTTTATTTTGTTTGTGGCTATCGTAAAGGGTGATGTTTCTCTGATTTCTTTCTCAGCCCCTTTATTGTCTGAATATAGTAGAGCTACTGATTTTTTTTAGTTAATTTTGTAACCTGCCACCTTGCTGAAGGTGATTATCAGCTATAGGAGTTCCCTGGTAGAATTCTTTGGGTCACTTATATGAACTATCACATCATCTGCAAATAGTGAAAGTTTGACTTCTTCCTTTCTGATTTGCATCCTCTTGATCTCCTTAGGTTGTCTTATTGTTCTAGCAAGAACTTCAAGCACAATATTGAACAAATATAGAGAGAGTGTACACCCTTGTCTTGTTCCTGATTTTAGAGGAATTGCGTTGAGTTTCTCTCCATTTATTTTGATGTTGGCTGTCGATTTACTGTATATTACTTTTATTATGTTATGTATGTTCCTGTTATACCCGATCTCTCCAAGACCTTTATCATGAAGGGGTCTTGGATTTTGTCAAAGGCCTTTTCAGAATCTAGTAATATGACCATAGGGTTTTTCTTTTACAGTTTGTTTATATTGTGGATTACCTTGATGGATTTTCATATGTTGAACTGCATCCCTGGGCTGAAGACTACTTGATCATGGTGTATGATTTTTCTAATGTGTTCTTGGATTAGATTTGCCAGTATTTTATTGAGATTTTTAAATCAATATTCATGAGGGAAATTGGTCTGTAGTTCCCTATTTTGGTTGTGTCTTTGTGTTGTTTGAGTACTAGGGTAATTGTAGCCTCGTAAAAAGAGTTTGGCAGTGATCCTTCTGCTTCTATTGTGTGAAACAATTTAAAGAGTATTGATATTAGCTCTTCCTTGAATTTCTGGTAGAATTCTGCACTGAAGCCATCTGGCCCTGGACTTTTTTTGGCTGGAAGACATTTTATGGCTGCTTCTATTTCTTTAGGGGTAATTTAATTAGATTTAGATCTATTTAAATTGTTTATCTGTTCTTGATTTAATTTGGTAAGTAATATCTATCCAGAAAATCATCCATTCCTATAAATTTGCAAATTTTGTGAAGTACAGATTTTCAAAGTATTATCTGATGATTCTCTGGATTTCCTCAGTGTCTGTTGTTTTGTTTCCCTTTTCATTTCTGATTTTGTTAATTAGCATGTTCTCTCTGTGTCTTTTGGTTACGTTGGATAAAGGTTTGTCTATCTTGTTGATTTTCTCAAAGAACCATAACTTTGTTTCATTGATTCTTTGTATTGTTTTCTTTGTTTCTACTTTATTGATTTCAGCTCTCAATTTGACTATTTCTTGGCCTCTACTCCTCCTGGGTGAGTTTGCTTCTTTTTGTTTTAGAGCTTCCAGGTGTTCTGTTAATTCTCTAGTGTGGCTATTCTCCAGTTTCTTCATGTGGGCACTTAGTGCTATGAACTTTCCTCTTAGAACTGCTTTCAGAGTGTCCCATAGGTTTGGCTATGTAGTTCCTTCATTTTTATTGAATTCTAGGAAGTCTTTGATTTCTTTATTTTTCCCTTTCCCCAGGAGTGATGCAATTGAGCATTGTTCAATTTCCATGAATTTGTGAGGTTTCTGCAATTTGTGTTGCTGTTGAATTTTAATTCTAAGCCATGGTTATTCCAATTTTTTGTATCTGTTCAGGTTTGCTTTATTGCCAAATATGTGGTCAATTTTAGAGAAGGTTCCGTGTGGTGCTGAGAAGAAAGTATATTCTTTTGTATTTGGATGGAATGTTCTATAGATGTCTGTTAAACCCAAATGGGTCATAACTTCTGTTAGTTCCATTGTTTCTTTGTTAAATATCTGTCTGGCAGATCAGTCCAGTGGTGACAGTGGTATATTGAAGTCTCCCACTATAAGTGGTGGGGTTTAATATGTGATTTGAATTCTAGTAATGTTTCTTTCATGAATGTGGGGGCATTTGTATTTGGGGCATAGACTTCAGAATTGAGACTTCATCCTGATGGATTTTTTCCTATGATGAATATGAAATGACCTTTTTCATATCTTTTGATTAATTTTAGTTTGAAGTCTATTTTTCTAGATATTAGGATAGCTACACCGGCTTGCTTCTTATGTCCATTTGATCGGAAAATCTTTTCCCAACCCTTAACTCTGAGGTAAGGTCTGTCTTTGAATCTGAGGTGTGTTTCTTGAGTACAGCAGAAGTATGAATTCTGTCTTTGTATCCATTCTCTTAGCTTCTGTCTTTTTATAGGTCAGTTAAGACCATTGATATTCAGGGATATTAATGACCATTGATTATTGATTCTTGTTTGT